CTGTCTCAGTTTCATCGATTTACAGAAGGCCTTTGATTCAGTGGAGACAGAGGCAGTCTTGGAAGCCCTCGATAGTTAAGAAGTCCCTGCTCAGTGCATGAAGATTCTTCGCGAGCTGTACAAAAATTTTTCAACCAAGTTATCACCATTCTACAACGATATTAACATTGTCGTCAAAACAGGAGTTAGGCAAAGGGATACTAACTCGCCAAAATTATTTACCGCCATCCTCCAAAACGTCATGCGAACATTGGAATGTGATAATATGGAGGTGAAAATCGAAGGTCAGCGGTTACACCATCTTCGCTTTGCTGATGACATCGTCTTTATAACACCAAACATTAGCCAAGCGAAACGCATGGTTGACGACATTGATAAAACCTGTGGGAAGGTTGGTCTTCGACTAAATCTCACAAAAACGATATTTATGAAGAACGGATTGGTTTCGCATGCCCATTCACGGTCAACGGAACGAATATCTCCGAATGCTCCAGTTATTTCTATCTAGGTCGGGAAATTAACATGTTGAACGACTTAGCTCTAGAGGTGAGCAGAAGGAAACGAGCGGCTTGTGGAGCTTTCAAGAGCATCGACGATATAGTGAAGAGAACAATGAACACCCGACTCCATGCCCACCTTTTCGACTCAATCCTACTTCCTGTCCTAACGTATGGGTCAGAAACCTGGTCGCTGCGTAAGCAGAATGAAAGATCACTCAGCGTTATCGAAAGCGCAGTCGAAAGGACTATGCTAGGAGTATCCCGTTCCAAGCACGTATAAGATGGGATCTGAAGCTCCGATCTGCGTCAACGATCAAAAATCAAGGATGCCGTTCTGTACGCCAAACAGTCGAAGATAAGGTGGGCCGGACACGTAATGCGTATGAATGACAACCGATGGTCAAAAGCCTTTAGTGACTGGATTCCTCGGGAGTCAAACGTGCTGCAGGAACACCACCGACCCGTTGGTCAGAGTTTTTTACTAAGAGCCTTGAAGGAAGATATGATGCTCGACGAGTTCCTGGAACGAGGAGAGCCCACTGAGCTGCTCTTACGCGCGGCAGCTAAAATGGAAGATTTGCTGGCGCCCGCTCGAGTCACTCGACGATCATGGGATCTACAGGTGATACAGGTGATCTTAATGCAAGGAGACGATTACAAGAATTATGGTTGCGGTGACAAATAATCCTGTGGTCAATTTGTCTTATTTTGACACCGAGAGAGTGAAAAGACTTCTAACATTTGACGTAAAGAAAATGGACAAGTGTAATAAATCTTATCTGCTGCAAAGCAACGACGTTGATGTGGAGAAAAATACTGGTGATCACAAGGTGTAGCCGTTTCGTGTCCTTTAGATGATATGCGGAAGAAGAAGAGTGAAGAACGCGCTGCAATATAGCCGCTTCACAGTATGTAAAAAAAGTTTGTTCAAAATCAACGTGCGACGCTGTTAGTGACGAGAACTAAATTGGGTGGAAATGACATTGTTGGGGAGTGATATGATTGCATGTTTGCAGTGAACGTTTACGCATTCTTGAACCTAACGACGATAAAAAGCAGCGCGTCAAATATGCATTCAATCACGTCTACGATGTTTGATGGGAAGAATGCGTGGCCTGTCGTTCAGAAATTAACCAACATCGAATGCCTTATCGTTTTTTTAACGGGTAACTCACTTTCTCATTCATCTCCTCTAATTGTCACAACTTTCGACCGACATGAAGCGAAGATAACCACTAACCGTATATATATGACGACCAAGAAAGACAGATTATGGTGTAAATAAGCTCAGAACAAGTGCTTAAATAATTGTTGCGGCGTGTTGGATAGACTATACAGGGCTGAGAAGGAATCCAGTGTTTCCATTAGGAAGCCTAGCTAATAGTACACCAACGCCAGGATCCACCACCGTCCTAGTATAAAACTAGTTGCATGGTGGCAAATCTCCCTCTGATCCACAAGGGCTGCCACTGCCTGTGGTGGTGACGACCTAAGGCAGACTTCGGACAGCCTGACCTTAGCAGTCCAGGGAACCACAATGGCTAGAACAGCAAGACTCCGAAAAGACGGAAATTATGCTGGGAACCGCACAACCAGTGAAGACGAGCCATCAAAGTATTCAAGTAAGTGCTTACTGCAAGGTAGGTGAAAAATTGGAGATGTTCGACGGCGAAGCTGGTGAAAAATTTTCGCAAATCGTCTCAAATTTTGCCAACGCCAACAACATGCGCTGGAGGTTCTGCGAGCAAGTTTGTTTTGTCACCTAGGTCACAAGCAAGAAGACCATTGCTGCCATCATTTCAACATAATTAGACCAAATGCCTGAAGAATAAGAACGTTGATGTGATACAACGCCAAGTTTGTGAAGACAAGGTAGGGATTCAATCACATCTGTTTTTGATCGAAATGCTGTGAAACAGATGACGCACGCTCAATGGATTGATCAACTTTTTCCTTATCCTTTGTCATTATTTCAAGGTATCGTTACATTTGAGGCGCAATGGTTAGGGGTGTCCTGCAATACACGTGGTCGTAGGTTCGATTCCGCAGCCGGGCTCACGAACTGTTCCATCCTTTCGGAGTTGGCAAATTTGTGCCACAGTGCTGCTCCGAGGATGGCAGCACTGCCTTCACAAGTCGGGTCGGTGTACCACAGAAAACAATTGTATTGACCAGATATTCATTCAGCGACCTCTAGCGGTGCCTGGTGAAATCGATTCCTTTCCAGAAATTGGTTATCGTAGAGGACTTTGGCGTTCTACTGTTGTACTTATCTCAAAAATATCCCAATATGTTTTGATGAATAACTCCAACAGGCTTTGCTCAGATTCTAATTCCGTTGTAGTTCATAGAAAGTACGACTGGAAATCATGAACATGACTTTATTACGCGGTTTCGAAAGTAGTTGGTTGTTTAAGCTGCATTCGTTCTACTCCCCCTGGTCGTTGATGATGCCATTGTCAATTCTTCAAGGATGCTATATTTATTCATTAGTAATCTACTACTGGCTTACCAAGGTTATAGGAGCTGATCACATTCTCTGATAATTAGACGGCTCATGACCATAGTGCAGTTTCCATAATAGCTTTTGCTTAACTAACACTTCGTTCTTCGAGCAAGCTTTTTTCTCCTACAATTTCGAGATAATCCTGCTGATGTCGGTCCCAAATTGTCATCAGAGACAGCCTTCGGCTTTTATGGATTGGATATTGACGCATTCTGTATTCATGTTGCAATAATTGAACATCTTAGGTTGGATGACCATCCTGTAGTTGGACTTCCATTACTTATGCGAAATACGACAACAAAGAAGCTGAGATATGACGAAAAAAGTTATATATATATAATATAGAATAGATGAAAAAAAAGCTCCAACCTTCTTTCATAACAACATTAGAGCAACTATTGAGCAGCTAACACTGCAGAAATTGCACTGGTTTTGCTAAGAAACTCTCCCTCACCCAACGTACTCAACTGAACCACGTCAACCGACTATCAATTTGTCAGGTACCTTAGTAACTACGTGCAAAAAAAAGCTTCACTAACCAAACCGCTGTTAAAGACATGTTGGAAATCGTTGCTTCTAGTTTCATTGTTCGAAATAGCATTGCTTCTTCATGTTGTTGATATTTTCATGACGCAATGTTGGAATTTCATTCATGACAGAGATCCTGACGTTTTAGGTTGCCTTTACTACAAGTCCACCGTAAAGTTACAGACTAAACTTTCATTTTATTTTTCTGCTACATTTTTTCCTTGTTTTTTTCACATATAATGTGGATCCAAGCACTTCTATCATTCAATTCGTTTCTTGTTATCCGTTACCCACAAAAAGCTTTGAACATTTTCTCCGAGTGAGTTCTTCTGCTGTTTGAGGATTCCAGTCTTGTTTATGAAAGTCGTCGAATGGTGGTCCTCTAATTCTGGAATGTCTAGCGGTTCCAGGAAGCTTTCAGGCCTTCGTCACTGGCTTTATTCCTTTTAGGCTTCACAGTTACTTGCCTTTGTGGATAGACAAGAGATGTTCGTGGTTAACCCTAGTAGCAATTTACTCACTCCGGCTGTGTGGGAAACATTGTTAGCTTGAAATGTGTTCAAAACAGTGACGTATGTAACGGCATCTCTACCATTTGGCTACTTCCGCACGTTTTTCTCTTGTTATCGCCATCAATTCGAAGTTGCTGATCATAAATTTCACAAACACTGAGAGCTTCTCCGTAACCATGCTATACGTTAAGCGAATACTTCATTCTATATCCTGAGTATAATCTTTAAAAAGTATTTGTCATATAATCGTTAGAACTTTTAGCACAAACAGAGTAAATAAAAAACCCGCAAATATGTGAACAAAACGGCATTAGAAGATGACATTAAGAGTGATTTACTTAAAAGTATTTAAGTTGGCACATTAAAAGTAGAAGCACCTGTAGTAAACGTGTACCACATAGACACTTGCAAATAGATGAGAATCAACCCAGGAGACTTCATAATGGATGAGTTACATTGGAAAGCCTTTAATGTATGTATTGTGTAAAGTCGTAAGCTCCAGAAATTTCCCGTTTTCGATTTATGAGTCCTCACATCGAATCCCGTCAAGGTAAACAGTTGATGCATCATAAATGATCATTCCGAGATGACGATAGTCAATGATCGAATCGCGGAACAGTTCACAAGTGTTCGTCGCACCTGAAAGCCACAAAATAGAGTTAACAGTCTTCTATCATTTACATCCCTTCATGAGCTCCAGTGATAAACCCCTACATTGTGGCCGAGGACTGTTTCTGGGTGTCAAATTGTAATGTGAAGTAGGGGCGTATGCTTCCAGCATCATGGTATTCCAAGCACAGAAGTTTGACGCTTCCGTCAAGAAGTCCATTTAGAACTAAATTTACGTGTTCAACAGCAGACTTCCGGTAGGCTACTTTATTCTAAGTGTAGGTTACCAACACGTATCACACCAAGGCCACGATATTCATAATATTCCTTGTGCAGCAAGAACAATTAGACTTTACTGGTGCCTTCCTTATTCGACACTATTCGATTGCCAACGGGACTAGGGTTAATGTATAGATGACATGCCACTACTATACAAAAAGCAACCACTACCGTTAAGAATCTGAAAAAGTAGTAGAATAAGCTTTGACTAAGAAGTTTCTCCACCTTTGAGACAACAGTGAAATTCTTCGGAGAATTCTCTTCACCAAAAAATCGAACCAAAAAGAAAAAGCTTGGGTGCTTCACACTTTTCCTTTTTATAACCGAAAATGTAGGTAGTTTCCAATTCTTCTCACTACAAGACCGAAAATGTATCATGTAAAAATGGAAAGACATCTCTGTTAACCAACCATTTGATATGATGTTTGCGGATCGACAACTGTGAGCATGACAGGCTGCAAAGCAATCGCCCGGGCTAAATTATTTTTAGAACAAAACATCCAAACTAAAAAAAGAAACAGCAAAATACAAATAGGAAACAGTCTTGTCCATCGCTGGACCGACTTCCTTTTAACCTCGCCATTGATCAATAATTCAATGTTTTCTTGATGACCAAAGACGAAGTCAGCTGCTTCCCTTTTTTTAGAGCCTGTTAAAGTCAGTCAGACTGACCAGCAGTCTACTCAATAAAACGCTTTAATAACCGTGCCAACGGAAACTTAATACAAAAATATTCGTTGGCTTCTCACAAACACTCACCGCTTTTTCTTATATACCCATATATAACGGAGCGGTGAGTGTTTAAGAGAAGTTGTTTACTTGTGGACGAAAATTTAAATAATGAATTTTGTCCGATGATTTTATGAAAGCGTTTGACTAAGCAGATTGCTGGTCAATTTGACCTTTCCAGACACTGAAGAAGGCGAAGTCGACGAGACGTCAGCTATTGCCAATGAATGCTGCAATAACTATCTCGTGTTTGCTTATCAAGAAAACAATGAATCTTGTCCATTTTATTCCTTAGCCTGATTTTCAAGCTTTCTTAATGTCCTTATTCCTTAATGTTTAGTGATCGAAGTGCAGTGGTAGCGCTTCTTTTAGAATTCTATGAAAACAATGAGAACAATGTTATACCTTTTTATTTTCTGCCTACTATAATTTCGCGGCAGGGTACTAAGCGAAATACAACCACAACGTTGCTGAGATATTTGCAAAACTCTGGACCGCAGGTGTCTATGGTGGGGAGCGAACGCGCTATTGTCCTTTCCGGGGAGTAACGCGTTCACCACCACACCATGCGGGTCCTTCGTTTCGCCTGTCTCTCAGCTATTTCTGCCATGAAAATTATAGAAGGCAGAAAACAAAACGTTAAACATTGTGATTTCAACTACAGCCATAGCTTAACTGGGTTCTATGCCGATTTGCGCTCCCCAGATCAACCCCGCTGACGGGTGATTGCTGTGTCAAAAAGATCGATAGAAACAGCTGAAAGACAGGCGAAACGAAGGACCTGCATGGTGTGGTGGTGAACGCGTTACTCCCCGGAAAGGACAATAGCGCGTTCGTTCCCCACCATAGACACCTGCGGTCCAGAGTTTTGCAAATGAGAACAGTTTTTGCGTCAGCATAACTCTGCTTAGCTACTATGAAAATTTGGGGAGTTTTCTTTAAGTAGGTCTTTTAATTGGAAAATAAACGGCATAATGAAAAAAGTGTGGATTAGCAAATGTTGCTTATATTTTTAAAAATTTTCTTTAGGTTCATTTATTAGTTGCGGCTATGGGTGTCATATTTTTCATCAAAACAACACATTGGTGACATAAGGAGTCTATAACTCATTTTCGGTTGAAAATATTTCAGCCTTTGAATAGAAACCTTTTGTAATAGTTCCCAGGATCGACTTTCTCTTAACCTCGGCATTGGAATATGAATGTGTCGTTTTCTTGCTCAGCAATCGCGAGGTTTTTAAGGTTTAGGGTTTAAGGTTAGGTTTTTTCTTAAATGTTTGGGTAGGTGAAATATGCAGCAGCAGGTGAAAACTATGTGTGGTCGGTAATACGTTGGTAAGCAGCATTGATAAAGAGAAGACTAAGTAGACTTATGTATGTATGATATTCGGTATAAAGTAGTTAACAAAAGGCAAGTGCCAATTTAAGGTAACGCTCTCGTATATACTTAGAATTATCAGAAACATTGATCCAAACCTTTTCACGTAAATAGTCCTTATCAATTTTGTACCCTGAAAAGAAGTTTGGTACATTGCACTGTAAGTACACCTTCCAACAGTTGGATAAACGAGAGTCGATGGTGACGTGACATCTGTTGAGCTCATTGTTCCCTATAAACAAAAAAGAATAAGAGTTTCTATAGTGAGTTTCATGCATAAACTTACCGGTTTAGAAGTAGTCGCTGTTGTTGTTGCTGTTGTTGCCGCTACTGCTACAGTAGTAGTAGCAGTTGCTGTTGTTGTTGTCATTGTTGTTGTCGCCTCGGTTTTTCCTATGACTGTAATGTTTTCACCTGAGTTTCTCATTTTAGAATCGAATTTTGTGCTGCGAGGACCGTTTAAGCGTGATGGCCATTGGACCAACCTGAAAGAGAATAAACCAAAAGAATCATATTTGCTTACAAATACAATTATGGATGACGTACACGTATTCGGCATCAACCGGTGGCAGAAACTCCGATGGTTCACCGTGGAAATCATCCGGCTAAATAAAATCCCGGTTAAAACAAACTTTCGTTGAATAAAATGTATATGAAACACATCAGTCGTCAACGTTTTCACCGTCTTTGCAATTTCATCGCATAGTTGGCATTTTTTGAATTCATAATGGTCTTAAACGAATTAC